GTAACGAATGACTCTTGTTTGGTGAAGTGGTTTATTACTGTATTGAAAGGTTACGGTACGACCTTCTCCTGTTTGTATTAGCAGATACTGCAAATTGGTTGTAAAAGATTTATAAAGAAAAGTGTAATGCAGCAGAACAATTTTCTCACTGATACAGTTCTGGTGATAAAACATCTTCAGTCACCCATGCCATATCGCCAATGCCCATGCTTCTTCAACATCTGGGTACAATTTTGATGATTTCCTGCCTTTCGGCTTATTTTCTTTGAAGTTTAATTCTGGAGAAAAATTCTGGTCGAGGTCGAGAATTAAGAGTTTCTTTTGCTCGTTCTTGAATTCCCTCTCAACAACCCTTTTATTCTTCATTGTTGAACCTTTGTTTACGATCACTGCTAACATCTGTAAGCAATATGTGGCACAATCCTGAGTAGTAAAACTCAATCTCTCCTCTTATCTCACTTTTTATCCCATTCCAGCTATATCATCATCTCAAATTCCCTTACTATCTTTTCCACTATTTATAATCACTCATCTCTATATTACTACCACCACTGTTACAGTATGATTTTACTCATCTCTGATTTTTGTCTTTGAAATCGATTTTAATTGACAACAACACATTTCATAACCTTTTTTTAAACATTTTGATACTTTCTGAACTGAACGATTTCATTTGATAATGTCAAGCAGATGAAACTGATATGACGATAATATTTTCAATAGATTGTTATCAGTAGCTGAAACAGTTGATACCCTCGGGTTTAAGCACCGATAGATTTTATCAAATTAATCGATTATAATCGAACGACACTCAATTTCCCAATTTATTTCATCCATAACGATACCAAAAAAAAAAAAAAACCCTAATTGTTCTCAGTGATTACCATTATTTGTTCCTATTCATTTCCTTCATCTTCATTGATTCATCCCTTCTCACAAAAGAGAATTAAGATGACTAATGAAGGCATCTGTAAACTGATATCATTCACATTTCGCACCTTTCTGATTGTCAAAACCTATGAAATTGCGCTTTCGGACCCGAAAGTTACGACATTATCCTATGAGACACAAAGAGACAGTTCTCTCTGACTGTAGTCTTTTTTTTTTTTATTGTCATTCAAATAGCGAAGCTAAAATAAACAAAGCCATACGGTTGGCAGTCTTTTGGATGGTTAAAAAAGAGTAATAAGTCAATCAGATATGGTTGCGGCCAATTTTGCTTATCAGAAACTCTTCCGTTCTGGTTGGTAGTTACACTTCATTAATTACATTGAACTTCTTTGTTCCACAGTTGTCGTTGCTGTTGTCACGACCGCTGTTCCTCTTTTAGTTGTAGTTGCGGGTGGAGTTATTTCGGTGCCTTCATTAAACCAATCATTTTCTTCTATAAGTCAAACTACGAAATCCTCAGAATTTTGCTGAATCTTTGAAGTGAGATTAGTGTAGTGAAACTAAATTAAATGAAAATTTCTCGGGTCAATGATTTAAGTTTTAAAGGGATGAAACCTGTTTTGATGAAAGTTTGCACCGGTGATGTATCGGTCGAGTAATAATGTGGTAAGGAAGCCATTCCACCTCTCCACATATTGAACGTTGTTTGCAAATTCCCATCACAGAGTTGCATTTCACATCCAAACAGTCGACATCCGTCACCATTCATCTGTATAATTTTTCATTTCATAGAGTTTTAAAAAGTTTCAAGATACTTAAGGGTGTTTTCGAAAGAGAATCCAAGAACGGAAGTGCTCAAAGAGTAAATGAAACTTTGACAGCAAAGTGATAAAAGGATAAGAAAGGTTGGGAACCTGATCTAGAAAGCGAATATAATCTGTAGCAATACGTAGTGTATGAATTTTACTCATTTTATCAGACGGTAACGATGGAACAATTCGTCGCAAAATGGCGAATGCATCATTTAGTTCTTTTGTTCGTTGTCGCTCACGACGATTTGCTGCCACACGTTGCTGCAGTGCTTCTTCTGGATTATCGCCCTGCGTATAAAGACAATGATAATGATGATCATGGTATTGTTGATAACGATAATGATGATGGTGATGAAGATAATAATCAAGGATCAATAATTAACATTTAAAAAGAAACTAAAAGATTATAAAATAATCTAGAAATGAGATAAAGTGTTATGGTAGAACAAGTAGACGAAAAATTTATAAACAGTTAGTCTTCCTTTCACATAACATTTCTAAATAAGGAGATGTTGAAAATTCTTAATTATATTGCTAAGAATTTCACTTACAAATGTTTAAATAACTTTTAAATATTGACTTAGTTCTAGGACTTTAATTAGAAATGTCTATCAAAATTATTAAAATGAATTTATCACAGAGAAGAAGACAGATTTTTGAAATTCCTCAGTTGGATTCTACAGTAACCGGATAAGTCTCAGTGAACAGTGAATTGTCAAAATTCAGTACTCAGTGAAGATTTTCGTTCTACAGAAAAAAAAATAACTTTTTGGTACAGTTTTGTAAACATCTTTTAAGTATTACATTAATGAGTTAGTAATTTTGTTACTCGGATGGTTACCACAAAGTATAAATGAAATGTATAAATTGCTATGACTATTGTGAAAAACTACGATGACAATGAGTTGCAATGGTGACAATCATTATTGTAAAGATAAAAGGATGAAACGAATTAGCATACAGTTGGCAGAAAATCATTTCAAGAATGTTTACACATAAGTTGGATTACTCATTCTTAGTTACATTTAATGAGGAAAGCTTTCGATGTTAACTTCAAATATCAATGAAAAAAGAAGTACCTTACGCCTATTAGACCGTCTTCTGGTAACCATCTGGAGGGATAAACGATGACTTGCCGGAGGATATATCAAAACTCCTGCACCGCCCATTATCTTCTCCTCTTCTCCTTTCTCATTTCCATCTTCTCCACTAAGCATTAATATCTTCTTTCTAACTTATCGTCCCACTCACTTCACAATCATTTGTTACGATGATATATGTGCCAAAACGGCAGCTAACATACCAGTTTTATTTTGATATTGTTATCCTTCTCTAAGCACAATGAATTAAAAGTCAACTTTGATAATTTGATTTTATCAACAATTTAGTTTTCATTTGAAATGTCTTTTAATTATTAGCACGATACAATTTAAAACAAAAAAAAACAAAACATGGAATACCCCAAATGTAAGAAATTTAACAAAACCAATAAGAAAACTGAAAATAAATCAATTATTAAGGAAAAACCTTTCAGGTACTTATAGTTTTCCCGCGGAAGAATTAAGATTAGAGATTATTCTTCAAGAAGTCAGAATCTAGTCTGATGCTACTTTATTTTCATTTATACCATGGACGTTGACAGGTTATTTGCATGCCAAGTTATATATGTAAACAAATAAAGGCAAACATTTAGTTTTTATTTATATCCAATCAAGAAATCATAAAATAGTACCAAGATTAATGATCATCTCAATGATTTCACGATAGCACTGAATAAATAAATAGGTTAAATTGCTTTTTTTTTCCCAAAAAAAAGAAACAAAGTTTGACCGTTTGGTAATTTTCACGAAATTTTTACAAATTCCCAAAACCAACATATTCACAAAAATATCATCTCATCTTCTCGTAGCTAAATTTATGTGGAAATTCGATGACATTCAAAAGTCCAGTGAAGATCAAATCAGTAACTGCCAATCTATAAAGCAACTTGTTGCCATCATTTCTGCTTCTCTTTTGTATTTGAGGAGATCGTTAATTACAAGACCGTCTTGCCCGCTGTGTTCCTTCTGGATGTGAATAATTACAGCATTTTCGTCATAAGATGACTCAAATGGACACAGCGAACATCTTAAAATAACAGAAAAGGAAAAATATGGCTAATGAGAGAACTAAATTTAAACAGAAGAAATTTATTGAGAATGAACTTTGTACGGAGCGCATCCGACTATTGATACTCTAAACGCTATGCACTCGTTTAATCCTTTGTTTTTATCTATCAATAATGAAAGAAAATAGATCACTGCTATGGAAATCAAAGGAGGCGATCTTTAAACAAATTTCCATACTTTTGGTACACTTCAATATTTTTATGTTTGATTAAATTTCTTGAGTTTCATTATATAAACGATATTTGAGTACAGTTCATACTCGATATTTTGGAAAATATCTGCAAAATTTGCACATTTATGAATAAATTTTTACAATAAATCAAAAAAAAAGCTGAATAAATTTTCATACGAAAATTCAAACTATTACCTGAAAATAGCTTTTTTAAGATGCTTTTCTAGTAGATGAGTCAATCGTCGTTTCTTACTAATTGTAGCGCCACATTGACGGCACTTCGCCCTACGTCCTTCATCGGAAATAGTAATATTCGACAAACGTTTCGGTCGTCCCGGAAAGCAACGGTCATGCATTTCGGAGAAAGCTGCTCGATGTTTAACTACATTAGCTATCGGTTCTAAACCCTTAAAATATTTTTTTTAAATCCATAAAACTCACCTTAGGCGCATTCGCATTTGTTCATATTATATAACAATGGACTGCCAAGGCACAAAAACATAATTTACTCATAAACCTTCAAAGACTTACAAAAATGTATGAGATTCCATAAAATAACAAGAATTCGAAAGTGTCGAATTTCCAAATCACGTGAATCACTTACTTTAACCTCTTTCCTTCTATGTCCATTTTTCATATGTCTTCGAACGAGACGACTTTCAGCAGCACCGTAATCACAAAGAGGACACTGATGAAGTGACATTTTCAAATGAACTTCAGCAATATGACGTGAAGTTTGACGTACTTCCACATCACATATTCGGCATCTACCAAAACAGATGGTTCCCTTTGCAGTAGATTAGTGCAAAATTGAGATTTCAGAAATTCCGATACGTTTGAATTCCAAAAATGGGCCTTATTCATAGGATGGGTGTTTGGAAATTAAAAAGCAAGAAAGCAGCAACGACCTATTGAAATCTTCCAATGCAGAAGTTGGTAAGCGACGATTGATCCAACCCGGAAAACAACGGGAGTTCCACATTGCTATTTCTTTTGAAAATCTCAGCAAATTTGCCGTGGGTGCTAAATCTGCGTTATCCCCATGTGCGTATCTTAATTTGAACGAAATTTTCAAAAATTTTTGAATTTTGAAATTTTTATGTTGAACAATTATAAAAATTTCAACAAGGGGCAAATCCTTCACACATCTTATAATTACACATGTTTTAACACGACAAACTTGATATGCGCTTTGACGTCTGATGAACAAGCGTGATGGGAGAATTCGCAAAGCGGACACTGGTAAAGACAGGGCTCCTTCAGATGATGCCTATATACATGAATCTTAAAGAAGTAATCGTTAAATAAGAGTTATTTAAAGTTAATGTTGGCCTTTTAAACAAATTTGACAAATTATTTTAGGGAATGCGACGCGAAATATCACTATTTTTTTAAGATCAAAAATCATTTTTTAAAAATTAATTTTAAAAAACGACAATCGATCGCAGAGTAGTTTTTTTTAGAGAATAATTTTTTCGATCGCAGAACAGTTCTTTCTAGAGCTTCTATACCTGCCGATCTTCAGTTTTCATCTCTTGCCCACACTCGCGACACTGAACTTTGAGTCCTTCGCAATTCTTCTCATTTTGACTTGCTTTCTTTTCTGACCACAAGTTCTGAGACAAATTTGAATGAGAATTTCAAGGATTTTGAACAGTTTGATTGCATCACAACTGTTAAGAATTCTAGCAGTTCTAGTCAATTTATCACTTTAGAATGGTTAACTAAAAGCTTACTTTGAGCTTTCGTGCGGGAAAACATTGCTGATACATTTTCTGTACTTCGTCTGCATGCTTTTCGATATTCGATATCGGTTCTTCCATATATCCACCGTGTAATTTTTGCATATGAGACCGTATTTCATAGGTATCTTGTCCTTCATAACCTTTGCATATTGGGCATTGATAGAGGAAAATCTTAAGATGATCCTTTGCTACATGATGCAAGAAATTCGATGAAGGATTGAACTCTTTTTTACAAAGCTGCAATTATTTCAGTTTCAAATTCTAAATTTCAAAATCAAATGGAGTAGTTTACGCACTAAGTTTCGGAGTTAATTCAATCTATATGTTTTTTATATAAATTGATTCTTAAAAGAAGGATTAGAATGAAAACATTTGATCAATCAGATCGCACAATTCTACCTACTTGAGGTCAGCAAAAGAAGGTATTAAAAAAAGAAAGATGAAACTGCAAAGGTAAATATTTGCTGGAAGTTCTGCACTTTTGTAAATTTTTTTTTTTTTTTGAAAGTTTCCAAAGCTAACCGTGCAAGTCCATTCATTTGGCTTTTCATGCGGTTCTTTCTGCACTACAGATGGTTTACAAATGATTTCCATTGTTGATTTCTTCTCTTCCTCAATGTTTGTTGTCCCACTTTTCTTTATCTGCAAATTAGATTATATAAAGAAGTTAAAATTACATCAATAATGTCCAGAGTTATTCCCAAAAAGGGCTATACGCTATAATGGAAAAAGGGGAAGAGAAATGACTGGAATCCTTAAAATTTAATAGAAAATCCGAACATTTTGGTTATCAGTTTCTTCGATGTCCAACCTCCAAAACTGCTTTCGCCTATGTTGCCAACCCGGAAAACATCGCTCGTTTAATCGATCTATTTCCTCCCTGAAAATCTAAATTTATGATTGCAAAATGATTGTAAAACTAGGTTCAACTTTCTGAGAAACTTGACTGCTTGCAGTACAACATGATGGATGAAATTTGAATGATATTGAAATTCATAAAACAATCAAATGTTTAATTCTTATCAAGAAATCTGGCCTACTTGTAATCATTTTCATGAGAATAAGGCTCTCGGTTTGGATTTTCTTTATGCATCCATTTAATATGCCACTTCACACGATGAATATCGTAATTTGAAGCAAAAGAGCAAAGAGGACATTCAAAAATACGTTGCTGCTTTAAATGACGATGGTATACATGACGTTGACGATCCGATTGCGCCACCTGAAGATGAGTATTACAAGCGAAAGATATCAATTATTAGACGAAATGTTGATTTAAATTTGAATAGAAATTCAATATCTTGTACGTGGAATAATAAATAATTAAATATTCCTTCGTATTCCTGAGATATTCAGAAATCAGTAACTATACATACGCAAATATATCGGTGAATGCCTAAAGTGAATCTCACCTGTATTTTACAAATTTGGCAAATGTGACGCTCTCGGGGACGATTACCAACATGAGATCGAACGAGCTTCATTGGTCGGTTTGGAAAGCATTTCTTCTGCAATATATCTTGCTTCTGTCAATATCAACACATTAGACTGTGCTCCGAAATAGAATAAACGGCACTTTTGGTGCTTCCAATGCTCTCGATTCAAAGGGTCAAAATTTTCTGATGGAACGTGTTTGAGAACCTGAAATACCAATTTTTCCAGTGTACAGAATGAATGAATACCTGTAAGTCTCGAATTTCCTGAGCATATCGGTCCAAATTGGAGATGGGAATAGCGTCACAATGCGCCGGATGAATTTTGTTGATATGTTTAGCAACAGTACAACTTTCGTAACTTCCGAAATCTTGACAAATCGGGCATTGGTAAAGTGACTTCTTCAAATGTTTTTGAGCTATATGACGTCCTGGATAACGAGACTCTTCCCTGTAAATTTCAATTTGCTTCATGATTACATTCTTAACTAATTTCAATTAAAGAGTGAATTCCATTAACCATGCGAATATCTCACATTTCAATGAAGTTCACAAATTAAGAAAAGATCAAGATCGTTACCAGCAAACATGACACGTTCGATCGTCGACGACAGCTGCAACGACTGACTGTCTTATAACACACTGATTATTATCCATATCACAGCCTGCTTCATCGCGAGATGTACACTTCGTAACATCGCCATAGTTGACCGTTTTTAGTCCTCTATTTTCCGGAACAACTTTGTTATGCTGAAGAAATGATCAGTTCATCTGGATGTAAGAGAAAAGAAAAATAACATAAAAGGTTTCGAAAGATAAATTTCCAGAATATTTCTTGATCAGAATTTAACAAACTTCTAGTGTTGTTGCTTTTTGTCTTGATAGAGATGATTTCTTCAGCTTCCAATCCGGAAAGCATTGCTGATTCCAATTCTGAAACAGTCGGATGCTTTAGCTAGTCCTACAGTTTTAAAATGAAACCAAAAGTTGAAGTTTGAGACAATCATCAGTAGCTTAATTAGCACACAGGGTTAATTAACATATTTTAAAATAAACATTGAGCGTTGTTTTACACTTATCAATCATAGTTTTATTACCGTGACGCAGAAGGACCGGTGATCTGATTATAAAAGCAGGACACTAATTCATCATATCAAATCGAGTTAATCTTTTCAGAAAAAGAAATGAAAATGAAAGTTGGAATTGGAAATGAATAACCTGTATCTCATGCCTGTGAAATTCTTCATTGCTGATAGGGTATGCATTGCCTTGATGAATAGCTATGCAGTGTTTTCGCATTTCCCAAACCGAATTATTATTTATATAGTCACAACCCGAACACTGGAAAAGATTAGAAACCCGAAGATGGAATTGATAAACATGTCGTTGGCGTGCTGTTGTACAGACATCCACGTGGCAAACTTGACAATTTGATTTTCGAACAGCTTTTGAACCATTTGGAAAAGATATTGAATTCTGTTGTTGTTGATTTTTATTCAGTTGATTGCCAGTAGTTGTCGTTATTTCGGAGAATTCAGTTTGCAATGTCTGAATCATAATAAGCAATTTGCTGAATTATAGCATAGCCTAATCACTGATTCTTCGTTTTTCCCTCCTTCGAAATACTCACTTATGTGAAAATGTGCCACCTAAGATAAGTTACGCCAGATCAGCTATTCTCGAAAGAGGAGAGGAAATAACACCACGGTGCGCCATATTTTTTGCAGCCGTATAAAGAAGTTTGCTTCTCTGAATGAATCAACATGGATGATCGTCCCATACAAGCTAGAAAAACGTTTAAATCCTCACAAAGCTTGTAGATCGCTTTGCTCTGGGCTGGAAATCAATTTCTCCAGGATCGTCACCTTCTGAAGATTTCCGTTTTTGTGAATCCAGACAAGACTCATCATCATTATCACTTTGAGATACCTGTAAGAAATTGAACATAGCCTATTGCAGTTTTCTTGCATAAAG